TTTTTGAAGTTGACTGCAGTTTTATATGTATATTTTGACGCAGTCAACTTCAAAAAATGATTTGAATGCCTTCCCGATCGAATTTTGAGCTGAAATTTGGTATGGACAAACTAGACTTGATGGGGAACATGCTCAAAAAATTTCATCAAAAAATTCCACCGGGAATGTGCCCAAATGGGCTCGGCCGGACGGAGCATCCCGTCAGGCCGGCCTGATGAGAAGAGCACTCATGAGATTTTTATAAATAGTTAGTGAAATATCTTTTATATACTACATGTATTTTAAAAATTGTTGGATCATTTATATTCCATGAGAATTAATTATTGTGTGAAAAATATGTCTATATGACTTTAAAGTATGTGAATTATGCGATTTGGTTGTATTCTTTTTGTTTTAATGTATCATTCTCTCCCATAAAATCTGATTAAGTTTGACTTGCATGTAGAATAATAAACTACTCCGTAATAACTTTGGAATTGAGATTTGTGTAGTGAAGGGATAAATAATTTTAATGGCATATTTGTTACATTAAATGAAAATGAGTCAGTGTGAAATAGTAGTAAATGACAATATGTCATATTATGGCTCGAACACAATATATGTACATTTTGGCCATTGTGCATGCTTAATGGCTAAGTTGAGTAACACGCTTCAATACCAAACTTTACCACATTGGTAACTTATATTCAATTTGCATATTTTAGTCGTGGTAGCTTATTTTGACCTTTTCAATGACACTTAGGGAGTGTTAGCAAATGCTTTTACTCAGAAAAAGTACATTTTGAAGTGATTTTGGAAAAAGTGATTAGTAGTAAAAGTTAGTAGTGTTTGAAAAAAAAATGATTTTGAAAAGTAAAAGTTGGTAGTGTTAGGTAAAATAAGTGTTTTTTGTTTAATAGAAAAGGTAAAAGGCATTTTTCTCTCAAAAGCTGAGAAACGCATTTTTAAGTAGAAGTTGTCACTTGAAAACAGTACTTTTAACTTTTTTAAGTCAAACACCGAGAAGTGCTTTTTTAAGCAATATTACATACACTCTCTAACCCTTGTAAGTTATTGATGGAGTATATGGACTTCGACCCCCCGATATGCCGACTACTGGGCCTGGACAGTGGCCCATACACGTTTAGCGGATTCATATTATTGTACATTATTATTATTTAGATGTTCTAGATTAGCTTTTTATACTATCAGTCCATTTATGTAACCGGGTCTGTCATCAGGCCCGGTTAGAGGCCCAGACCCAGATTTTCCCTATATATACTTGTTAAGACCCGGAGTTCCATCCTAAAAGGTCAACCTGATAGGAGGAGTAACCCAAAGCCTTATATAGTGTTTAATTGTTTTATAGCTTTCCGGTGTGGGACAAATGCTTCAACAATACTCCCTTATGTAAGACTTGTAAACACACAACTCATATAACAAACATTAATTCATTCTATACACTTTCTTCATTCCTTCTCCACTCTTGTTCAATCTCCTTTTCATACAATATGGGTATCAATTATCCAACAGTTATGAAATTCTATAATCCCCTTTTTGTGATCCTGTTTTTCACCTTTTCAACCAATCATCAAACACAAAATTTTTGATTGAATTGACCGAAGGTAGTGTAGACGAGCTTTTTAGTTACTTTCATATATTTTTTATTATAAGAATTGAACTATGATATTAATTTTTAAATATAAATAATTCACACATTTCTTAGTTAAATGTCAAGAATTTTTTATATTTAAAGTAAGTACTTTTTAATTATTAAAAGTAATTCAATCATCCCATAAAAAAAACTAATTCAATCATCAAATGCTTAACATAATAACATTTTCACCTCTTCACAAATCAAGTAACGGAAGTTTAAGGAGTTAGGGCTATTAAAGTCACCTCAAAAGTGAAGTACCATTTTCTAAGTACAATGTACACTTTTTTTTGTTAAATGTGTTGACACAAATCAAGGGTACTAACCATCTTTCACAAATATAAGGTTGTTATATTAGATATTAGATATTAGATAATAATATAATATAATCCTCCTGCTTGATCATTAAGGACGATGTAGAATTGCTTACTTTCTTTATAATGTTTTTACTTTGGACTCTTTTCTTTTACAGAATAGGCCGGACTTAAACAGAGTAGAATTTATTGGGTTTAAACAGATCAGACTAGACTTTCATTGTTATAAAATACACAGAGACCAAACAGTTACTAGATCAGACGAGATCGGCAAATTTCAATCTAATTAAAAACACCCTAAGTTTGATCTAGATTAAGACATACGTTTGAGATAAAATGTGTGTTTGAACTAAATACGGAGTAATATTTACATGAGTCTCTTTATTTTGTGTGTTAAAAAAACAATCTGTTATTTAAAATTTAAAATAATCAGTAGTTATGCTTCGACACATATTTGTCTATCTTTTCGGGTCTTGTAGACGTGTAGTGAATAAATTTCTAAAAGTTAGTGGTAGGTTCGGTTCTTTCGATTTGGTTTTGACCTAAAACCAAATATAGAATCAAAATAAAAGGTTTGATTTGATTTTGGTTCGATTTTACACTCCAAAACTTGGAACCACAGTTTTGATTGGTTCGATTTGTTTCGGTTCGGTTTCGGTTTTTCCGGTTTTTTACAAAAAAATTGTTAATTGATTTGAATTGATATAATAGTTAGAGGGATCAAACATATATTACATAAAGTATGCAAGCACACTACAACAAATAAAATAAAAATGTGAAGAAATAAATATGTCTTAAATTATCTGAGTATGCGAGAGAGATAAAAGTGTATATATATTCTTACTTTACATTGTTTGTGGCTAGTTTGAAAAAAGTTGAGATGAATATATATTGTTTTATGAATATAAAATCTTTAAGCTACATAAAAATAAATGTTAATTACTACTAACAACTAGTAAAAGCATATCATCATGAATGTATAAATGAATTTATAAACTAAACTAAACTAAACATAACACAAACATTATTTCTCTAGCACAAGAAAACCAAAGACTACTGATGATATTAAGATTAATTAGGATTAATGCTTAACAATTAACAAATAAATTTCATATTTTTAATTAGTTCGGTTTGTTTGGTCTGGTTCGATTTTGAACGGTAAAAACCAAAACTGAACCAAACAACTACGGTTCGGTTTTTTACATTCGGTTTCGGTTTTTTAGTAGTTCGGTTTTATTTGGCTGCTATTCGATTTAATTTGATTCGGTTTTCGGTTTTTCGGACCCAACCCTACTACAAGTAAAGAGGTTTTTCAATTCATACCTCTCTTCTTTTTTAAAGAATTTTCAATTCATAACTTGAGAGATAAGTAACTATATATATCGATCATGGGCTCCAAAGTTAATTGCTACCATGCTTGGAAAGACACAGTAATGTGTTTGTTAATGACAAAATAAAACAATTAACTCTTACGTAATTGGTGAAATTATGACTTAAGCTGATGAATTTTCTGAATTATAAGAAAATTATATTTAAAATATACTCCTTTTGTTAATAAATTAAGCAAAAAATTATACCCGTAGTATTAGAATAACTAAAATAGTCCACTTTCGCATTTTGCAAAATGGGAAAAAGTTCTTAATTCATTACCAAAAGTTTTTACTTCAATATTATTTACTTGAGTATTAGTAATGTTTTTTTACTTCAATATTATTTACTTGAATACTCCGTATTACATTACCAAATGTTTTTTAGCGAAATAGCTTAATTCATTTCATCAATAATAAAGTTCTTAGTACAATAAGGAATAAACCAAAAATCATCGCAAGAAGCATAACTAATAATTGCTTTAGCACAACATAATAAGCACTATTATTAGTATGTCGCCTAATAAAAATGACCCAAAAGTCACTGTTTGAACCTACCAGACCCTACAATCGTATGTACTCAAGTTAGCTGTGGTGAACCAGACTCAAAAACAACTCCTCTGTACTCAAGTTAGCTGATGTACGTGGTGAAATTTCCAAGTTGATGCTTCCCTTTTAGATATGCATAATAATATCATAAAATCATGTTGTCAAGTTATTTAAAAAAAAAAATTCCAATTTCAAGCCCAGATAACAATATATATACATGTCACTTAAATACAGGACATCATGGTTACGATTGGTAGCAATTTTTAGAGCCTGTTTGGTGAGCATATTCTTCGCCTTATCAAACTTATCAACCAATTTTTTCACCAAACACGTAATATAATATAATAACTACTACTATACGTAATACCAAACTTAATGGTTACTAATTTTTAGTGCATTTTCTTATTGTGCAACACGCTTCATAATAATATAATAACTACTACATACTAATTTAATGATTAAAATGTATACCATCTTTTTAATTATTTGGCGAAACTAAACTGTCAATGTAGAATAGTGGCTTTGAGAATTTATCAATATAACTGTCTGCTTCTAAATATTTAGTTTTCCTATCCTTGAGATTGTAAGGGTATATTTTGAATCCATTACAATCCATAAGAACCTATCCAGAATCCATAAGTATCTCTCCTTCCTTTGTTAAGCATAGAAGAGTGTATCTAGGACCCCAAAATGTATCAAGTGGGAAACTGAGGAGTCTGTTCCAACAAGATGCTCCATTGGCATCAAGCTTCAATGCCCAAGCCTCAAAGCAGCTCTCCTTTAGGGAGGATTATATTCTTGTTTACTAAATCAAATTTCATTTTACATGTCTTTGAGTCAGTTAAGAAGTCCAACAACTAAATGCTTATATGCTCCTAAATTAAGACAACATTTGAATTTCAATTGCTCTGAAACTTTGGACAATAATGACAATGTCATTTTTAGCATAGTATCCCCTAAATACACGCAATTGGTTTGTTAAGATAATAGCTTACAAATGTGACATAGTCATGATTTAAATTTATTTAATGCATGTACAAAATTAACCACAAAAAAAAAGATACACATATTAAAAGTAACATATACTTCGTATATCATAATACTCATGCTATATAACATACATTAAGCGTTTCCTTATTTCGCAACACTCTTCATATATATAATATAACTTAGTACTAATTTAATGATTATAATGTGTACCATCTTTTTAATTATTTGGCGAAACTAAACTCTCAATGTAGAATACTGGCTTTGAGAATTTATCAATATGATTATCTACTGTTAAATATTTAATTTTTCTATCCTTGAGATTGTAAATGTACATTCTGAATTCATTAGAATCCATTAGAATCTCTTTAGAATCCACAAGTATCTCTCCTTCCTTTGTTAAGCATAGAAGAGTGTCTCTAGGACCCCAAAATGTATCAAGTGGGAAACTAAAGAGTCTATTCCAACAAGATCCTCCATTGGCATCAAGCTTCAATGCCCAAGCCTCAAAGCAGCTCTCCATTCCTTTACAAAACACACATAATGAGTTCCCTGATATTCCCAAACTTATTTTACCAGAACTTTTGTCACCCAGTAATGGCAGCTGGATTTCTTTGAATTTCTCCTCTTTGAGATCAAAAGAACCCATACAGTGGACACCATTTGGCTTATAACCCAACCAAAACATATCCCCATTCCAAGAAATAGACCTTCCTTTAAGATAGGAAACTAAATCTGGAGCAGCTTCATCTTGAATCTGTCTCCACCTTCCTGTCTTTAATGTGTAGAGTTGAAGAATCGTTTTCCTTGTCCCCTTACTCTGGGTCTTCGTGAAACCATGCAATACTCCATAATCATCCCTGCTATCATTATAGCCTACTCCGGAGAGAGTCGGCCAATGAATCAAACATTGAAGGTGTGGGGCGTCTGGCAATTCCTTATAATCTCCGGTGGTCGGATTCCACAAGAACTCGCCGGCATATCCATAACGTAGAGAAGATCCCCTGAAACCGATCAGCCCATTACAAGAACCTAGGATCCAGGTGGGTATGAAATCGGAAGAAGGGCCGCCTTTCATCATTGCAGCAGGATAGTTCAACTTTCGAAAAGCACCATTGTTGTAGTCCAGAGATTGAGGCGGCGCTGTCGTGAGGAAGAGCCGGCTGCCGTCTCTGTTTGCTCTTCTCAGTTGAAGGTTGGCAAATGCAGGGCCTGAGATCAAAGAATTCCATCTTTTGGAGACGCATTTGAATCGCATGAGAGTCTTGGCGGGTAATCTTGAGAGTATTTCTGTAACGACATCATCAGTCAAGTAAGGCATGACTTGTGCTTTCTGTTTTCCTTTTCTGCTCTAATATTGCTCTTCTGTTTTCTGTAAGGAGAGTACACCTGGTGTTTTCATTTTATAATAACCATAATATTGCTTGATAGTTATGGAGAATGGATACCTTTTTTAGCCCATATTGCTTTTGACTGGTCCCAACTCCCAATTCTTCCTTTGAACTCGTCAAAATTCAATATTCCACTTTCCCTGTGCATTATGCTCTCTTTCATTGATTAATTCCCAAGGAAGATACATAATCCGTATTAGGGCGCCCGTTTGTTGCGATTTAAGTAAACACTTTGCGTGTAAAGTGTGGGGAAGTAAACATTTTACACCGTTTATTGTAAGTATTTAATGTAAAATGTAGGACACTTTTTAACCACACTTTACACCGTACAATGTAAAATATTTTACATGGGGAGGGTACTAAACTACTTTACACCCTAGCCGCTCTGAAGACTCCATCGTAACGTAGCAGCAAAGCAAAAATATTGTCGGCAGGTTTTCTCCTCCTACGTAGTACGAGTATTTAAGAAAACAAGAGGTTCTACACTTTGAATTCTCCATCCACGTTAACCAACAGGTTCTATACTTCCAATTATTTCTGAGATTTGATGTTTAATTGAATCTAAAAGTTATACTGCGGGAGTTGCTTAGTTTTGTTTAATGGAGTTGCTTAGTTTTTAAGAAACGTTGGTGTATTTTTTTGTTTTTGTATATATATATACACATTATATGTATATTTTATGTATATTATACGTATGTACTGTAGTATATGAAGCCGGTTAGTTTGTGTGTAATTTAAAAATAGATTACACACATAACCAAACAATGTGTTCTATTTTACATGTAAACTATTTTACTGCCCTAAACTTTACATGCAATCATTTTGCAAGTAAAGTTTAAATTAGTAAACTACCAAACGGACCCTTAATGAAAAGCGCTGATGATCATGTGTAAAAAGCAAATTATTTCCACATGCTGATTTATAAATTGAATTGGCAAACTGTTTAGTTGAAAATTATCCAAAAAACATAGAGTAATTTAAATTTAGTCTGTGTAATATGGAACCCATAAAATTGCGATTACATTGTTGAAGTATTTATCCCACACCGGAAAGCTTTAGAACAATAAAACACTATATAAGACTTTGGATTACTCCTCCTATCAGGTTGACCTTTTAGGATGGAACCCCGGGTCTTAACATGGTATCAGAGCCAAGTTCGGTTGTGGTTTGAAAACTTGTTTAGCACCCATGATTAAGGGTAGCTTGTTAAGGGTCTGTTTGGTCCATTTATACACCCCGATATTGTTCAGCCCGGTTCGGGCTGAGGGGGCGTGTTGAAGTATTTATCCCACACCGGAAAGCTTTAGAACAATAAAACACTATATAAGACTTTGGATTACTCCTCCTATCAGGTTGACCTTTTAGGATGGAACCCCGGGTCTTAACATACATACAAGACAATTGAACAACGGTGTAAAAAACAAACAATAATACAAATTACATCAATTACGTATTTCTATATACCCTTTTAGTTACTTGATTATTAGGGAAATTTTAATTCATATCCACTGTTCATTTTGAAGTAGCCTTTACACCTCATTTTTTGAAAAGAATTTACTCTAAATTGCAGTTAAATTAAAAATATTCGAAATGTATAAATAAGAGTTGCTATCTTTTATTCTAAAAAAAATGTCTTATGTAGTTTTAATTTAAAGCATAGAATTTCTTGAAGTGCTTTTTTAAGCTATTACATATACACTCCCTAACCCTTGTAAGTTATGAAATTCTATAATCCCCTTTTTGTGATCCTGTTTTCACCTTATCAACCAATCATCAAACACAAAATTTTTGATTTGTCACAATGAATTGTATAATAATCAATATAAGTAAACTGAAAGTTACTTTTCTGATTGAATTGACCGAAGGTAGTGTAGACGAGCTTTTTAGTTACTTTCATATTTTTTTTATTATAAGAATTGAACTATGATATTAATTTTTAAATATAAATAATTCACACATTTCTTAGTTAAATGTCAAGAATTTTTTATATTTAAAGTAAGTACTTTTTAATTATTAAAAGTAATTCAATCATCCCATAAAAAAAACTAATTCAATCATCAAATGCTTAACATAATAACATTTTCACCTCTTCACAAATCAAGTAACGGAAGTTTAAGGAGTTAGGGCTATTAAAGTCACCTCAAAAGTGAAGTACCATTTTCTAAGTACAATGTACACTTTTTTTTTGTTAAATGTGTTGACACAAATCAAGGGTACTAACCATCTTTCACAAATATAAGGTTGTTAGATTAGATAATAATATAATATAATCCTCCTGCTTGATCATTAAGGCCGATGTAGAATTGCTTACTTTCTTTATAATGTTTTTACTTTGGACTCTTTTCTTTTACAGACTAGGCCGGACTTAAACAGAGTAGAACTTATTGGGTTTAAACAGATCAGACTAGACTTTCATTGTTATAAAATACACAGAGACCAAACAGTTACTAGATCAGACGAGATCAGCAAATTTCAATCTAATTAAAAACACCCTAAGTTTGATCTTGATTAAGACATACGTTTGAGTTAAAATGTGTGTTTGAATTAAATACGGAGTAATATTTACATGAGTCTCTTTACTTTGTGTGTTGAATAAACAATCTGTTATTTAAAATTTAAAATAATCAGTAGTTATGCTTCGACCCATATTTGTCTATCTTTTCGGGTCTTGTAGACGTGTAGTGAATAAATTTCTAAAAGTTAGTGGTAGGTTCGGTTCTTTCGGTTCGGTTTTGACCTAAAACCAAATATAGAATCAAAATAAAAGGTTCTAAATATTTAGTTTTCCTATCCTTGAGATTGTAAGGGTATATTTTGAATCCATTACAATCCATAATTAAGAACCTATCCAGAATCCATAAGTATCTCTCCTTCCTTTGTTAAGCATAGAAGAGTGTATCTAGGACCCCAAAATGTATCAAGTGGGAAACTGAGGAGTCTGTTCCAACAAGATGCTCCATTGGCATCAAGCTTCAATGCCCAAGCCTCAAAGCAGCTCTCCTTTAGGGAGGATTATATTCTTGTTTACTAAATCAAATTTCATTTTACATGTCTTTGAGTCGGTTAAGAAGTCCAACAACTAAATGCTTATATGCTCCTAAATTAAGACAACATTTGAATTTCAATTGCTCTAAAACTTTGGACAATAATGACAATGCCATTTTTAGCATAGTATCCCCTAAATACACGCAATTGGTTTGTTAAGATAATAGCTTACAAATGTGACATAGTCTTGATTTAAATTTATTTAATGCATGTACAAAATTAACCACAAAAAAAAGATACACATATTAAAAGTAACATATACTTCGTATATCATAATATTCATGCTATATAACATACATTAAGCGTTTTCTTATTTCTCAACACTCTTCATATATAATAACTTAGTACTAATTTAATGATTATAATGTGTACCATCTTTTTAATTATTTGGCGAAACTAAACTCTCAATGTAGAATACTGGCTTTGAGAATTTATCAATATGATTATCTACTGTTAAATATTTAATTTTTCTATCCTTGAGATTGTAAATGTACATTCTGAATTCATTAGAATCCATTAGAATCTCTTTAGAATCCATAAGTATCTCTCCTTCCTTTGTTAAGCATAGAAGAGTGTCTCTAGGACCCCAAAATGTATCAAGTGGGAAACTAAAGAGTCTATTCCAACAAGATCCTCCATTGGCATCAAGCTTCAATGCCCAAGCCTCAAAGCAGCTCTCCATTCCTTTACAAAACACACATAATGAGTTCCCTGATATTCCCAAACTTATTTTACCAGAACTTTTGTCACCCAGTAATGGCAGCTGGATTTCTTTGAATTTCTCCTCTTTGAGATCAAAAGAACCCATACAGTGGACACCATTTGGCTTATAACCCAACCAAAACATATCCCCATTCCAAGAAATAGACCTTCCTTTAAGATAGGAAACTAAATCTGGAGCAGCTTCATCTTGAATCTGTCTCCACCTTCCTGTCTTTAATGTGTAGAGTTGAAGAATCGTTTTCCTTGTCCCCTTACTCTGGGTCTTCGTGAAACCATGCAATACTCCATAATCATCCCTGCTATCATTATAGCCTACTCCGGAGAGAGTCGGCCAATAAATCAAACATTGAAGGTGTGGGGCGTCTGGCAATTCTTTATAATCTCCGGTGGTCGGATTCCACAAGAACTCGCCGGCATATCCATAACGTAGAGAAGATCCCCTGAAACCGATCAGCCCATTACAAGAACCTAGGATCCAGGTGGGTATGAAATCGGAAGAAGGGCCGCCTTTCATCATTGCAGCAGGATAACTCAACTTTCGAAAAGCACCATTGTTGTAGTCCAGAGATTGAGGCGGCGCTGTCGTGAGGAAGAGCCGGCTGCCGTCTCTGTTTGCTCTTCTCAGTTGAAGGTTGGCAAATGCAGGGCCTGAGATCAAAGAATTCCATCTTTTGGAGACGCATTTGAATCGCATGAGAGTCTTGGCGGGTAATCTTGAGAGTATTTCTGTAACGAGATCATTAGTGAAGTAAGGCATGACTTGTGCTTTCTGTTTTCCTTTTCTGCTCTAATATTGGGTGTTTTCCCAAAACACGGGAAAACTCAACATTCACGCCAAAAACACGGGAGAAAATATAGGGTTTCTAAAAACACGGGAAAAACCGAATAGATTAGCTGGTTTCGAGCTAGACATTAGGTTTACCCCACCCCAATTCGGAAAAACAGGTTCCGAATCAAAGTTTTTTAATTTTTTGTTCCAATTCGGAAGATGCTATTCCAAATCATACTTTTTTTTTTAATTCTTTGTTATCCAATTCGGATCATGGAATTCCAAGTGGTATTTGTATGTTTAATTTAACCATATAAATTAAGTTAATATGTAATTATTTTTAATTAATACTCCCTCCGTCCCAGGGAGAAGTTCTCACTTTCCTTTTTTGGTAGTCCCAACAAAAAGTTCCCATTTCCCTAAATGGAAAGTTATCCTACATCAAAACAGTGTCAAACATTGCAAAACAGTGTCAAACAGTGTCGAAACAGTGCCAAACAGTGTCGAAACAGTGCCAAACAGTAAAATTTACCCCGCAGTAACTTTATTTCCTAAATATGTGTGAAAGTCAACCCGGGAACTTCTCCCTGGGACGGAGGGAGTAAATAAGTTGGACCCCCTTTCAAAAAATAAATAAGTTGGACTCGTTAGCATTTTCATAAATGGGTCGAATATGGTACATATGATCCAACCAGTTAAGGACCCGGATCCGTTTAAAAAAATTTAATAGTATACACACACTATTACATATAGTGATTAGTTATAATACTTCAAATTAAAAAAATACAAATTAATATACACACACATACTAATACATAAAATTATTAGTTGCACTTCTTTAATTAAAAAGATACACAACTAATACATTATACATACCTACCATATTAGTGATACTGATCGAGATAGTGAGATACCCTAAACTAATACCTATTTTGGCCATTTATAGATACTGATAAAGTGTGTAATGGGTTCGGTAGGCAAATCCATTATTTAGTATTAATAATGTTGTTATGTCATTATCATATACTACCTCCGTCCCGGTGGACTTTGCCAAGTGCAAAGTAGGTGAGAAATAAAAATAGTAAAAACTGTGTGGTTGAAATTTGTGCAGAAGAGAGAGAAATGTGCAAAATCACAAATTAGTTATTAAGTGTAACTTATTTAAATAACTTATTAAGTGTAGAGTATTAAAATAACTTGTCAAGTGCAACTTATTTAAAATTAAAAATTAAAATCACGTCTGAAGTAAATTACACTAAACTAATTATAGGCAATTTTAGGCACTACTTATTAGCTAAATTCTTCTAAACTAATTGTTGAGGTTTATTCCTTCAACCCTCGGGTCCAACACGTAAGCCCAAGAGTTTCGAGTGGAGTGTGTATGAATAACTAGCCCAACTAACAAGTGAGATGGATTAAGAAACAGTAAGTAGCAAGTAAGTGATTAAGTATTATTAATCTGTTAATAACTCCCCAATACAATACTTTTCGCTAAAGGCTCGTCGGCCGTTCGTCTTACAAGGCAGTAGAACTGCTGCGGGTAAGAAGGCTATAAGCTAGAGTGCTAAGAATAGAAAGTTGCCAACCCTTTACAATGAAATAAATGCTGCTATTTATACCACCAATGGGCAGCTGGCTACACTGTCGTGGAGGCTTGTGAATGGCTGGTGCTCCAACCACCAAATCTTCAGCATTAAATGTGTTTCCCGCCAGAATCTGGGTTTCCCGCCTAATTAGTGGAGACGTTCGTCCAGCTGGGGGAGGTGAGTCGCTTCCTGGTGATACCGCAAGGGGTAGTGGGCCGTTCGTCCCTTGGCCCTTGTGGGCCTGCCTGGTGGATTGAATTGCCTCCAGTGGTTATGGGCTTGTCTGACGACGTTCGTCGTCATCCTAGTGGTCTGAGGGTCTGACTCACTGTCAACTGAGTAGCCGTTCGTCGGAATGGGCTGGTAAGCCAAAGCCTTAGTCAAGACGTTCGTCCTTTCCCAGTTGCCCGCCAGCTTAGCCTACCCAGTTCTGTCTGGACGTGCGTCCGAACAAAAAGGTAAATGGGCCGAACTTTTACTTGTGCCATTATCCCAACACTAATTATAGGCAAATTTGGGTACTACTTATTAAGTAAACTACTTTAAACTTATTAAGTAAGTAACTCTAAAATAACTCTAACTTAATTATTAATACTATTAAGTGTAACGTATCAAAAATACAAATTAAAATCACTTATTAAGTAAAATACTTTAAACTTATCAAGGACAATTCTATCTAGGCAATTGCAAAAAATTAATCATTTGACTAAGTGGACAAATTACTCTAGATTAAGTCCATTTATTTTAGTAAGTGGTGTAATAATTAGGATATGAGGCATTCGGATAGTGGGGCATGTTTTTTTTAACCTGCTTTTTAGCCATTCGGATATCAGGTTTCCGAATAGGATGAGGCATTTGAAGTATTATTGTTTTTAAAAAATCCAGACCTTCCATTCGGAATATGCAGTTCCAAATCATAGCCTTTCATCTTTGCCCCACTTCATTCGGAATGGTGCCTTCCGAATCCCGCATTTTCGTACCCTAATCGGAACTCCCGTCTTTTTGCATGGCCTGTTCGAAACTCCCGTGGTTTCGTCATTTCCTCCTAATATTGCTCTTCTGTTTTCTGCAAGGAGAGTCCATCTGGTGGTTTCATTTTATAATAACCATACTATTGCTTGATAGTTATGGAGAATGGATACCTTTTTTAGCCCATATTGCTTTTGACTGGTCCCAACTCCCAATTCTTTCTTTGAACTCGTCAAAATTCAATATTCCACTTTCCCTGTGCATTATGCTCTCTTTCATTGATTAATTCCCAAGGAAGATACATAATCCGTATTAGGGCGCCCGTTTGTTGCGATCTATAGTAAACACTTTGCGTGTAAAGTGTGGGGAAGTAAACATTTTACACCGTTTATTGTAATTATTTAATGTAAAATGTAGAACACTTTTTAACCACATTTTACACCGTACAATGTAAAATATTTTACATGGGGGGAGGGTAGTAAACTACTTTACACCCTAGCCGCTCTGAAGACTCCATCGTAACGTAGCAGCAAAGCAAAAATATTGTCGGCAGGTTTTCTCCTCCTACGTAGTACGAGTATTTAAGAAAACAAGAGGTTCTACACTTTGAATCTGCTCTCCATCCACGTTAACCAACAGGTTCTATACTTCCAATTATTTCTGAGATTTGATGTTTAATTGAATCTAAAAGTTATACTGCGGGAGTTGCTTAGTTTTGTTTAATGGAGTTGCTTAGTTTTTAAGAAACGTTGGTGTATTTTTTTGTTTTTGTATATATATACACATTGTATGTATATTTTATGTATATTATACGTATGTACTGTAGTATATGAAGCCGGTTAGTTTGTGTGTAATTTAAAAATAGATTACACACATAACCAAACAATGTGTTCTATTTTACATGTAAACTATTTTACTGCCCTAAACTTTACATGCAATCATTTTGCATGTAAAGTTTAAATTAGTAAACTATCAAACGGGCCCTTAATGAAAAGCTGATGATCATGTGTAAAAAGCAAATTATTTCCACATGCTGATTTATAAATTGAATTGGCAAACTGTTTAGTTGAAAATTATCCAAAAAACATAGAGTAATTTAAATTTAGTTTGTGTAATATGGAACCCATAAAATTGCGATTACGTACAAGACAATTGAAGAACGGTGTAAAAAACAAACAATAATACAAATTACATCAATTACGTATTTCTATATACCCTTTTAGTTACTTGATTATTAGGGAAATTTTAATTCATATCCACTGTTCATTTTGAAGTAGCCTCTACACCTCATTTTTTGAAAAGAATTTACTCTAAATTGCAGTAAAATTAAAAATATTCGAAATGTATAAATAAGAGTTGCTATCTTTTATTCTAAAAAAATGTCTTATGTAGTTTTAATTTAAAGCATAGAATTTCTTGAATTAGGAATGAGTGACTCATATTTTAAAAAATACAATAACCTATTTATGCATTTTCTATGTTTTTGCAATCATTTAAAAACTTTTTCTTATCATTTGAGCTTGCGGCTTAAAATAGGTCATTCCCTTCAAACCTTGCACTTCATATGTGGTTTAATATACTCCGTATAAAATAAAAGTTCAAAATAGGAGTAAAAACAATTTGAATTTCTAGTATATAATCATTTATGGGAGTAAAATCAGCACTAATGAACATACAATCAACTTAGTACCATTAAAAATGTAATATTAGTGCAGAATGACCAAATTCTGCACTAAATATAAAATGAAAATTTGACACTAATAATCCAACATTTATCTAGTCTTCTATAAACAGTCCCTATTATTGATAATTCCAAATAAATCCAACCTTTATATCTTATCTTCTTCCTATGATCCCAGGCTGATCTTACCGGTTGATAAAGTTATTAAAATTTAATAACCGGTTCTTGTTTTAAACAATATCGACACAACCTTCACCATCCATTGCACCTCACCTCTTCTCTTCTCTCTATATTCATCATCACTCCCATCTCCTCTCACTTTTTAAGCTCCTTCGACCTCCCATATCTCCCTCCTTCCTCCTGATTTCAACATTACACTTAATCAGCCAATCAATGTCCGTAGTAAATAAATCATTGATTACACTGGTTTGATACGAGTAAGCCGCTAGGCGCTATACTAGACTGTGGCCTCACCCCACATGAATATTACCAATTGAGTCGCTTGCTGATCTCTCATAAACGAAAAGGAAGGCTTGGCGATGAACTAAGACGAAGGACATGAGGCTTCATTGAGTTTGAGTCAATGTTAAATATATTGGTCGGTGAAGAAGGAAAATGAGGTAGCAAGTTGAGTCTAGAAGATGGCAAGCAGAAATTATATTTGTTGGTAGAAAATATCTCGGGTAGAGAAACTAGCGGCATTTCAGTATAGTAAAATAGCCTAGAGAATACATGGGGGTAAGGGCCTATTTATAGGCATCCACACAAGTCCAAAGTCTAACCTACGTGGACTTGGCCCAAATAAATAATACATGTCCAAACTAATGGGCGAACTGGCCCAATAAATAAGTAAATGAGCCAGGGGCGATTCCCGCTAGTGAGATTGCGTCCTGGGCCTAGTTGGGCCAAAGCTCGGGGATAACGGGCCGATGGCATTGGGCCTGGCCCATTATCCCAACACGAGTCCCCCACTCCCTTAATCGAGTAGTAAACTCGCCTAAAAGGGAGTAGTTGAGCTGCTTTAAAATCGGCCCGGTTTCCAAGCTAGCTAGCTAGTTACATAGATGTTCGTTGATAATGACGATTTGCGGTGTGTCCGGAAAGGTCAGTCATGTAATTGTCCGCTATGGTCCCATTGTTTGCGCAAGGATGAGACCCTCCTTGTTTGGGTAGCTGTCTGAGGTCCTGGTTATCTGATCAGTAGCCCGGGGTCTTCTTTGTTCCATCCGGAAAGACTTCTTCCTTTGTTTATGATGAGGGGATGCCTCGTTAAAACCTTACTAGGAAAAAACCCGGTGGGAAAAAATCCTAGTGAAGGAAAAAGAGTACACCGGAACCTTAAAATAAAGCAAAGAAAGGCTAGTCCCGTTGGTTTTTAATTGAGCGTCTGCTTTACTGGTAAGCCGAGATATGTTCCGGGAAGGTCGGTCGCTCGTCTGTTTTCCAGTGGTGGCGGTCGAACCAAGGCATGCTCGCGAGAGACCACCCGCATAACTGTTTGCCAATGATGCCGAGCCAAGGTATGCCCATGAGAGGCCGGTCGCAAAGCTGCCCGTTGATGATGCCGAGTCGCGGTATGCTCGGGAGAGGGCGGTTCCACAGCTGTGCACATTGATCCCCGCTGCTTACAAGATGATATGGTTTCCCTCGTCTGGGTAGCAGTTTTAGGTCTTGTTTATCCGATTAGCCTCCTGAGGTCTTGTTCTTCCGATCAGCAGCCTGAGGTCTTGTTTGTCCAATTAGCAACCCGGGGTCTCATTTGTCTGATTAGAAGCCCGGGGTCTTGTTCCGGTTGAGAGATCTCTTCTTTGAATGCGCCCAAAATGGAGCTAAAGGGTGAGCTCTCCGGTCACTACGTGCAGCTGGAATGGTCGCCATCCGCTGAGGGGATGGCAAAAACGGGTCTTCACTTGTGAGCAGTGCTCGTCTGACGTTCTCGGGAGGATGCGGTGAGTAGTCCACCATAATAAGTAGTCCTTGTTGATTGCTATTATTATTGGTTACAGACATGGTAGGTAGGAGAGGTGCCCTCGCTGCTTTAGCTGCAACGCAAGATGCTAAATTTTGGCCTTCGACGTCTAATGAAGGTCTGTCTCATGCAGGGAAGAAACCCGGAGCTTCTTCGTCTGGTGCCGAAGAAAATAGAGAAGCTTCCCTGCTTTGCGAAGAGCGACTTTCTAAGAAGAGAAAATGTATAATCTGCTCCTTAGGCCGGGTAACGGGAGATAACCCAACCGGCAGAATCCTATCTTACTCTGTTCATTTCCTCATAGCTATGGCTGGTTGGAGAAGCGCACTTGCTGCCCTTCCCTGACCTTCGTTTCCTCATAGGTATGGTAGGTCGGAGAAGTGCACTTGCTGCCACTGCCCTGACCTTCATTTCCTCGTAGGTATGGATGGCCGGAGAAGCACATTTGCTGCCTTGGATGCAAGTTTCGACTTTTGACATAAGTCCATCCAATGTCGGAGAAGCACATTTGCTGCCTTGGATGAATCACTTTTTTGGCTAAATGAATTTTGGTCATACTTTTTTCTAATGAAAGTTGAGAGGTGATATTCATGCCATTCTTTCTTATTTTATTCTAATAAAATATGGCTAATGTTTTCTGGCATTTGCCTCACCGACTTAGGTGGTTTGCCTATCGGGTTCCAAAAAAATGTGTAAGTGGATTTGTATGTGTTTGAAAATTACCAGTGTAACTTCCAGACGGAATCTGCCAGTTACATACTTAGTTTACTGGATTTGGATAAATCCGCCGGTTAAACTTACATAAATCTGGTAGTTACACTGAAATAGTTACATTTTCAGTGACTTATACTTGAAAAAGTGTTGTAGTTACATTGTGTATAGTGTCCTTGGTCATTATGTAACTGGATTCCGAACAAATCTGAAATACTTACATTTTTCAACGACTTGTACTTGAACAAGTGGTGTAGTTACATTGTGTATAGTGTTTTTGGTCATAATGCAACTGCATTCCGAACGTATCTGAAACAGTTACATTTTTCAATGACTTATACTTGAAAAAGTGTTGTAGTTACATTGTGTATAGTGTCCTTGGTCATTATGTAACTGGATTCCGAACTAATGTGAAATAGTTAAATTTTTGAGTGACTTATACTTGAAAAAGTGTTGTAGTTACATTCTACATAGCATCTTGGGTCATTATATATATAACTGGATTCCGAACTTGTAACACCCCCTACCCGGCCCAGACGGATCGGGCAGGGAGCGCTACCCGCAGTGCCGCAACACCAAAGCGTTGACTAACTAATTATTTTCTTGAAATATTTTTAGTTGAATTTTAAATGAGAATAATAATAATATTAGTTTTTATCAAAGTCCATAAATTGCGGAAGCATAAATATATTACACAACAAGTAGTTCTGGATTTTGGAATAACCAAATACATCCATGAGA